TAATGTGATTTCCCGACTAAAAGTAACAGCGCCATCTCTTAGCCATTTCTATCAACGTCTCGGTTGTCTATGGAAAACATTTGACATTTACATTTCAGTTACAAAACGCTAGATGTCGTTATTCCAACTTAAAATGTAATTTGAGAAACGCGATCTATAAAAATACACGTGAGACCTAACATTTTTGAGAAAAGGTCGATTCATGAAATTAGTAATAAAACAATTTAGGTTGTTTATTTTAAAACTAATTTAATTAGAAGTGCATTATGTTACAATATTTTGTATTTTCCAGCTACATTTTAAATTTACAAAAGCAAAAGACACATTGAATTAAAAAAAATGAAAAGTCATAAATAAAGAATGAGTTTGCGCATGCGCGGAAGGAAGATGGCGGTGCAAACGGGAAAGCTGGTTAGTTCAGGGACGACTCTACATTTATGACCCTTATTTAATTAGATAATTAATGTAATCATCATTTATATTTATAAATGCGTCAGTTGTCTGCATTTAATGCTTAGTTCACTAAGCGTGAATCTTAACAAAAGTTTAAAAACACTTATCTTAATAATATACTTAACTAATTTTTACATATGGACAAATGTTATATTTATCTGTTTTTTAAACCGCTGCTGAGACTTATGGGGGATCAAATTTTTTTTTTTATGATATAACTAATATAATCTTTTGAGTTTGGGTAGGAGAGGGGGGTCTAATTCGAATATCTATTTTAGATTTTTAAATTATCTACAGCTGCTCCCCCTTCCCCTTATCAACGCCTATGCAATGCATTTGTTAAGTTTTGTTTTAAATATCTACTTCTTTTTAATAGGACAACGCTACGAAGATCTTATCGTCCAGCCATCGTGTCTCCAGCATGCCTAACACAGAAAGCCACGTTTTCAGTAAGTGTTTCAATATTTCAATTATTTTTAACAGCATATGCTTATCATATTACAACTAATGCCAAGCAATAAGCAAGTATCTAGCATTACAGCTTCTCCTCTATTGACTTGGTTATTGTCAAACTTAAAAAGAACACAAGAAGAGTGCAAAACCAAACAAGTCTAGGGAAGGGGCAGCTATCACTGACATAAGAAATAGTTATATTCAATGTACAGTTTTTGATGCTCTAGAGGAGGACGGGGGATAACTGCTCTAATGCAAGAAGGCAATGTTATTCAGTATGTAGCATATGTTACTTCATCCTCTACTACGCTGGTATTTACTTTTATTATGTTATTTTCCCATATGAGAGAGTATGAGTATGAGAGTCTCAACTCTTCACCTGTTGGTCATATTTTGCTATCTTTAGTGGTTACTTGGAGTCTTCAAATTAAACAGGTAAGTATAAAGGTAAGTGATATAGTTTTTCAACATTTCTGAAACTTTTTGAACTTTTGAAATTTTGAATTTCTGTGTTTATTACCACTATATTAATTTTAATTTTTTATCGCAGAATGGTATTACTATTGCCCATCATATGCAGACCAATTACAGAAATCTCAAAACCAAATTCAGTTATGCTTGAAAAAAAATTAAAAACTGTAGTTTCCAAAATTGTAACTAGATGGCGCTATAATCAATCATGATTTTATTTTATAATTTTTTTACAAAAGATTGCTGTCGCTTAGTTATTAATGTATTCATTAAAACTCACAAAAAGCATAATCAAATCAAACAAATCTCTAGATAAATATGAAATGTAAATAAATAAATTAAGATTTAGAAAAAAAGACTACAAGAAACTTAATAAGTCTTGATTTTACTTTATTTTTACAGTTAAACACTTTAAACATTCTCTGAGTGTCAGATCAACTAAATGGTCCCTTTTAAAAGGCTCGTCAGCTGTCTGAAGGGGAACAGATTAAATTCCCTTTTTAAAATTCACCAATAGGGGAAGGGGTGGCCACGGATTGGCCGGGCTCTGTCGTGCGAAATAATCTTAGGGCTGATTGACACAGACCGATGCATTTGGCTGCACTTTATTTAAAAAGCATTATTTGTAAAAAATATTATTCGATCATTCAAAATCGGTGAAATATTAAAAATGATTAGTTTTACCACAGATGCAAAATTTATACATAGCTTTTGGTAGCACGATCTATAAATAAAAAAAATAAACTAGGGGAGTGGTTTTACTAAAAAAAATAAAGAAAAAAAGCATTACATTGTCTAACAAGTAGGAAAAATTATGTAATTCTAGCTAATAATTGTATCTTCTTGTATAAAGTTATTGATGTCTTAATTTCTTGAACATTTTAAAGATTGGATATGGGGCGTCTTGAACTTCTAGGGTTGTAAATAACTAATACTGTTTCTATTATCCAAGCTGAAATTATTAAAACATTCAAAACGGTTGGTTTTAGCAAGTAGGAGGTTTAAAAAAAACTTGTGTAAGGCGTAAGAAAAATCACATAGATATTGCGTATTAGTAAAGAGAGCATTAAAGAGAGAGAGAGTAAAGAGAGCAAGACTCCGTCCGCGTGGATCTGAAAAAAAAAGTGAATAGCCTTTGTGTTCTTCCAGACTATCCTCAACATCTACGCCAAATTTCATCGAAATCCGTACAACTGTTTAGGCTACAAACTCTAACAAACATCCAGCCATCCATCTAAACTTTCACATTTATATTATTACTGGCTTTTGCCCGCGACTCCGTCCGCGTGGAATTAAAAAAATCAAAACTGCTATAGCCTACGTGTTCTTCCCGACTGTCCTCTACGTGTATGCCAAATTTCATCGAAATTCGTTCACCCGTTTCGGCTACAAACTCTAACAAACATCCATACATCCATCTATCCATCCATCTAAACTTTCGCATTTATAATATTATATTGAAGTAAGAAGAAAGATTTATTTATTTAAAAAGAGCATTTGCTTTGAATATGGCAGAAAAAATCCTAATTAAATAACATTACTCAAATTTTTACATAAAAATTTACAACATGGTATCTACATTTTTTTGCATTTCATTATACCGTTGTTGTCTATTACATGTTAAATAATATTGCTAAAAACTCGTTTTAGTGTCGTCTCAGAACGCGTAGTATTGAGTCACCGCACAGCACCATATGGCATCTCGTTAGACAGTAGACCGGACGGACGTATCACTAAGTAAGCTTAGTTCACAATGATAGCTTTTATTATTTGTCTATATTCGAATTAAAGTAAATTGTTTACTCCATAAGTTTAATAGCGTGAATATAGCCTGAGGCGTGTCGAAGTGTAGGGCTTTTTATTAAAATGTATAATTATTCAAAAATATACTTTGATTGGCATTATTATTATTTAATTATAAAAAAACTTTTATAATACTGTAATGATAGTTTGTGTCATCAACTAATTAGCTTATTGTATAAGAGTATCTAGTATTTTATGTCCCGTCTTAGAGTTCTGTTCTTGTAGATAGTTCCTTGAGTTAGATTGCACGCAGAGTTACTACGCAAGGATCATATAGTGGAAGCATATACTATGCTAGTGTACAAACTTTACGCCATATCACAATTTTTAAATTACAAAAAAAAAACGAACTTTTGCGTATCAGAATTATAGTTAACATAAATGTTTAAATATCCAATGTCGTAGTTATATTGAACAAAATACTTGTTGCTTATGAAAAACATTAATAAAAGGCTATGAAGATTTAAAAGACTAGTTGTTGCTCGCGACTTCGCCCGCGTGACATTAAAAAATAATACAAATACAGCTTTTGTTACTACATTATTGCCTATGTTGCTCAGGTAGCTTTTTAATAGGGAAAGAATTTTTTAAATCGACCAAGTACTTTTTAAGTTATTTCAATAATTAAAAAAATACAAATCTTTCTTTTTTGTTATATTAGTTTAGAAAAAAGACAAATAAAGTGTATTTTTAAAAATATTTATTCAAATCAAGAAACATGAATTTCAATGGTTTTCCAATAATTGGAAACTCTGGTCACTCTCGGTGTGTACACATCTTTATATTCAGGCTACTACGGGTTACGTCACTCCACGCGTCCGAGTATTAACGGTTTCGCTGTCAATTGCCACTTTTGTTGGTACAAATTTTGTTGTGTATTTTTATACTCGTAATAATTTACGTAACATTGATGTCATAAGTGTATTCGCAAATACATGTATCAGCCTCTTTGTTGTGATTCATTTTGTAATAATTTGCATATCTATGTTTATTTTTCTTCTGTATTTCGTATCACATACAATTTCAAGTCTTACGATACCGATACATGTTGATTGAGTGTTTAAAACAACAAAATCTTTAAAGATTCTTGCAGACATAAAAGAAAATTGCTTTAAACTGAATACATTGGAAAGTATACTCCTTTCCGTTTCAAATTAAACGCTAGTAAACGTTAATCGTTTATTAAATAATTCACATATTTTTATTTTACTTATAACAATCGCAATCGTCTCGGTCAAATTTCCACAACTTTATGATCAAAACCACTTCGATAATATTTAAAACAAATAGAAGTAGCACCACGAAAAACCACGTTAAAAAATCTAGTTTTGACGTAAATGTGCTTTAGCTTTTGGCTTGTACACCGTACCTTTAATATTACGGTATATTATTACTACGAATAGGTCATAAAAATCATAAAAAGAGTAAATTATTCATGTCTTAAATTGATTTGTTAAATATCGTTTTAAAGTATTTAGAGAGTGATTTTGTAATTAAACAAAAATGTATTATAGTGCAAAAACATAGCATGTAAAAATATATACCGAAATAATATTCATGGAATTTAAAAATTCATCTCATAAAATGTATCTTACGTAAAATCCATCTAATTACTTTACAAAAACCCTCACAAATCTTTAATAATTCAATTACTGTTGGTCATTTTAAAAATGTTTTAAATTTTAAACTCAAATTATCCGAGCCCTCGAATGTAATAAAGTAGGGAAAGCCCGGGCGGCTGGCAACCCTGGGTGGGCGAATGATGGCGGCTGAGGGGTGCGGGGTGTGGCGAGGGAGCGCGGCGCGGGGGCGGGGGCTGGGCTGGCTCTGTGCTCTCTCGCCCTGCACTCGGAGCGGCCGCCCCATACGACTGCGCAGACACGGTAAGAACACACTTTTACCTACAGTTTTCGTCTTTTGTTGTCTTGAGACAATATTTTTAATAAGTTAATTTTTCTAGGTGGTGATTACGCGGCCTGATTGACTATTGGTAAGATTTTTTAGATTTGATTTTCTCTTTAATAAAATGAGATCTTTTTTTCCGAAGTTAACATTTCCTATCAGCTTCATTTGCTATCATAACAAACAAAAAGCATAATTTTTCTACCTACATCTAATTAATTTGGAAAATACTAAACTACCGCCTATTAAGTTACCTACCGATTTATTAATTAACTTATGTTATTTATAATTTGGTGTTGTCAGTTAGCTTGTTTGAATTTACCACTATTTTAATGTTTTTTAAAAAAACTAAAAATAATTAAAAGTGCAATTTTAAGAATACATTTTACAAATGTCGATATTGTTATACTTCCGAAGATAAAGTTTAACTTTTTGCTATTAAAATCCATCAATAACCATCAAAATTTCAGGCTTATTTCTAAAAAAATCTAAGTACAAATTAAAGTTATTCAGCTTAGAAGTTATATTTAATATGTAGGTATTCTGATTCTTGATATGATTTTAGTCGACCTTTTAGTTTTCGTTTTTGTTGCGACTGGTTTTAGGTTCGGTATCTAAACGAATCGATCCAACAATACAAGACGCGTCTTCGCAGTCCGCGTATAATGGCCTAAAATATCAGTCAAAATTTATCCCATATAGTTGCCCCGGATTTAGTGCTAAAAAGAAAAGACTATCGCAATAACAAAATGTACAGAACTTAAACATTCCTACATTTTATTTTATAATAGCCTTCGCCCGCGACTCTGTCCGCGTGGAAATATAAAAAAAAGTGATTAGGATATGTGTTCTTCCAGATTATTATCTACATCTTTGCTAAATTTCACCGAAATCCGTTTAGACATTTAGGCTAGAAACTTTAACAAACATCCACCCAACGAAACTCTCGCATTTACCCACTATATTAAAGTATGATTTCGTTTTACCACTTTTAATTTTAATAATGTCCATAATCTCAATACCTGTAGTGTTAGTAATATTTATTTAATCTTAACATCTCTTAGCTTGTATTAATAAAAACTGTAAAAATAAGAAGCTAAATGTATAAAATAAAGATGTAATTTTGCAAATTAATGAAATAGACTGTTAAAGGCTCTAGCTTTCATGCTAGGGGTAATAATGAAAAAAGCCTAAACTGTGGGTACTAAGGTTAACTTTAAAGTTAATTGTCAGTTAAATAGATACTATATCATACTTCGTTTGTTTCTATTTAATTTTTTGTATGGTATAATAAAATCCACTTATGTACCGACTTTTTTGCCAAACGCGATACGGGAAAACCGTATCAGGGTATACATTGAGTGATTAAAATTAAAAAAAAAATCAGATTGTCCTTTGTTTCTACAGCAATATTCAAATGAAACCCCATCAATACGTAAATAACAGTATCATAAAAATAAAACGAAAAAAAAAAAGCCGGAGAATGGAACGATGTCTATATTTAGGTAGAATTAGCTTCCGTAATTATAAAGCTTCTGTAACCCCTATCAAAGTATTTAAATAAAATTATACTTAGGAACGCTAGGATTCAGATAAATACACAGAAATCTAGATTTTACTTTACTATTTTTCCTTGTAATATCCAAATTGTATCATAGTTAACTAACCGAAATCTATACGTATACAAAATTTAACATAGTACATGTAGCAACAGAGATTTGGTTATATTTGTATAGCTTGGGGTGGAACAGAGCGTCGCGCCCCAACTTGTCGATATCAGAGCCCGCACTGCGCATGTGCGGAACGCCTCAGACGCCATCCCATCCACCTCCATACCTAAACGTTAGGTAACTATATTTAATGGTCTCATATTTACTTATTTATTTAATATTCGTTTACATCCACTTTTAAATATTGAACAATCATTAAAAATAAGAAAGGAACTAGCGAAGACCATTACTTTTATTTTATTTATTAAATTATAATTAATACTTAGTTAAAAAATAATAATTACAACTTGAATAAAATTAGAAAAATCAGGCAGATATTAGGATGACATGTAATAGTAGATTTATTAAAATTAAAGCTAAATAAAAATGACCTAAATTGGCAAATCAATTGGCAATAATAAATCTAAAGCAAGTTATCTCGGAAGATTCCATAACACCATAATGACGTCACAGACTGATGACATGAAAAATCACAAAGATATCTGCGTTATGTCTTATCTACGTTAGTAAAAAAGTCGATTTATTAATTTTAAAACTATTATAGATAAACTATTTGCAAAACTCATAACCGAGCCGTATCATATTTATATATAAATACTTTGAAAATAACAAAGCAAAAGAACTGGCAACATTATCAGAATCGATCGAATTAATAAACTAGAACTGAATTGACAAATAGAATCGATTTTTTTCTTTAGATTTATTGACAAGATATCGAGAAGCAATCAATATGCTTTGGACTAGAACGGATACGCATCGTGATGAAACAAGATGTGTGACATTGTACGGAATATAAATAGGATTGTTATGTATGGTCTTGAAGTACTTGGATTATCGCTTATACCCCAATAAGTTTTCAAATAATTTAATAAAATTAATAATTTATCTAATAGATTTACTGATACATTATCAGATATAAGGCTAAATTTAAAAACGATATTGTAATATGACTATATTGTATAAACAATACTTCAAAGCTCCTAGTTAAGTATTCATTAAAATCAAATCATATTTAGTACAATAGACCGCATTCTGATTTGGTTCTTTCAAACCATATTCTCTAAGTAATACCGTTTTTTAGAGCGTGCGCACATCACAGTTTTTTTCCGCGCTTTGATTCCTATGAACTTATATGGAGGTGCGCACACTACTCGATTTTTAGTTGTGCAACAAACAGTTGAATTAGCTGAGAAACAATCGAAAATCGCACAAGAGTTGTACAACAGTTTAGGCAAAGGTTTACGCCCGATTTTGAACAAACTTAGTCTCCTGGCGTTCTTTACAACCCCCGTGAGACGTGGTTGAACTAAGTATTTTTATATTACAACGTGCTTCCAGTAAATGTACGTTTTGTAATTATTTCTCTTACATATAAATTGGATCCTTGTTTGTAATTCACTCCCCAACTCTGCTGCTCTGGTAACCATACGCTCGCACCCTCCGAATAAACAAAATCTAACATTGTTTCCCATTCCAATGTAAGCCTCAATAACAGTAAAGAAAGATTATTGTATATGTTAGTACTGCTAGAGTATGGGGAAACATTCGTAAATAAATTTGACTGCGCAGTGAAAAAATAATGACAAAACCATTCTAAATTGAAATGATTTGGCAATAGAAATCAGTATTAATACAAAATTCTAATTCTTCTTGACGTTAAACAAATCCTTTTAAATTACAAGAGTACATTGAAAATAACTTTTAAGGCCGGCAACGCATCTGGTTCCTCTGGTATTGCGGATGTCCATGGGCGTCGTTGACCACCTTGGTGTTCAAGCCGCTCGTTTGTCCCCTATTACTATAAAAAAAACTTACCTTAAAGCACGATGACATGATAAGTATCAAAACAAGGCTTCCGTAAGTTTTATGTTAGCTATAAAATTTCCCCTTAAAACTTCGCTATGAAACAGAACCGTTAAGTTGCGTGACAAAAATATATCAAATCCATTTCATTAGAAAGTTATTCACATTAAAACTTTGCTTCGTAAATATTTTTGTAAATCAATTATAAACGTATTCTAATATTCTATTTACGTGCTTTAATGTAATCTATTCAGAAATGATGTATTTTTACTTGAATTTAAGTTCTTGTTTTTTAGACATTGAAGGGTCGACAGCTTTGATTTCAGCGGTTTGCTTTTTAATTGAAGTTGAATGTTTTAAACAAGTTTATTTAAGCTTGTAGCTTGTACATTTAGGCGACAAAAACTGATATTAATTTTTATAAGCACAACTTTTAAATCATTGATTTCTTGATTGATTTAAAAAGGACAAAGTTTTCAGTTCGTATGTTCTTGTTTATGTTCGGATCTGGTAAACAGATTTTTATGATTACTTTTTATTATAGCGTCGAATTATCAAATTTTTGTACTAATTTCAGTGTAATTTTTCTCAAATACATCCCGGCCTCGTGTCTAAGCCAGACACCATATTTCTTTGGTGCGATAATCTCAGATATCTTATTCAAATATAGTTTTATCAGTAGCTACCTGTTCAACGTATGACAAACAATATACAGGTATAATCTACATTGATATGAAGTCATAAGGTGCAAGCAAACATTTGATAACTCAGCTTCCGCCGCCTTAATCTCGTTATCTGGTTCAAACCTTATTATAAAGCAAATTTAAACCATTAATAAGGTTAAATATATAATCGGTTATCTTTAAACAATGTTCTTAACGTTGAAACTTTAAATTTTGTACAATAGCTTGAAGGAGATTAACATAATTTTGCAATATTCAAGAGGATTTCGAATAGACCCCTAGGCAACTAGTTAGAACCTTACGGCTCTCTTAAAGATTATCGTTTAAGCTTAGCAAAATACTTATGTGTTCGTCCGCTTCCTTCATAACCCATTTAACATAAAATAAAACAACAGAATGATTAAATAAACTATATTAGTGAAGTGTTAAACAAATCATTAATTTGCTACTGTTGTAACAAAATTGATTGTCATTTAAATATGAATTGAATGTAGCTATTAAGACGGAAAAAGAAAGAATAGTAATTGAAACGACGTTTCACATTGCTTACATTTAACTCTGTAAATGTGAAGTTTAATAAAACGCAGGAAGCGAACAATAACTGTGGAGTCAGTGACCTCGTGACTTGGATATGACTAATTCGACTGTGAGAAACAAGTTTTGGCACAAACATTCTTTTATCATAGTAATATTACATAACATTAGTAGTAAAATTATTTGAATATGACCTTAACGTGTTAAAGTTAGACGTACAAGTGAAAATAATACGAATACTTGTAAAGAATGCAGGTCAGCACAAAAACTAAAATGTGTGTCCTTGCGATGAGAAAAGGGCAGCGTAGCAATGTGGCAAAAATGTCGTTCAATTTATTCCCAAATTTTAGTCGGGTCCGGTCCCTTTTTGTTGCCATCTGCGCGCCGCGCCGGTCCCGGACTCCAGACAACTCCACCCTAAAAACCGTTTAGACGGGATTCCTATCCTTTCACCCGCTCGTCGAATTCTATATCGTTATCCCTGTCCAACACTATGGAATAACAGGGACCTGCCTCCTGTCTCGTTTTTGCACACGGGTACAGATTGTACCATCCTTTTTTGACTCGTAGTAATTCGTGTATTTCCGCTTCCCACACGAGTGGCCGCCATGTTTGGCGGGACTGTCAAGCGCCAGTTTGGCGCGTTAGGAGCGGGATGAACAAGGTTGGCTTGATATCTGGAAATTGTGTATCGATATTAAGAATTTAGAATATTTTAAACGGTTACTCTATTGGAAAAATGACCAAGAATTTTACTTATATTTAAATTTTTCAAAGGTAACAATATTATTTTTCAGGGCACAATCAATTTCTCGGGCGAACATGGGAGCATCAAGCCTGCAAAATATGTAAGTATTCATTTAATAATCTTTATTACATTTTTACATTTAAACAGAACTGCAAATAAACCTTTATTTTAGACACACCTCGGACATTGTATTTATTTTAATTTATTTCTTTAAAAGAGCTTGCAACTGTTAGGTAGGCATTATAACAAGGCAAACACGCTTTTTGTGCTTAAAGCGGCAATTCTTAAAAACATTGAAATAGCACCAATAAAATTTGGAGTTCGTAGACAATAGACTCTATGTATACTCAGATATTAGTCCATTTAACAAAGGCATCCCGATAATTGTATACCATAACCGCTTTCTGGGTCAGGTTTATTAGCGTTACGCATACAAAAGCTTTTAATATTTTGGAAACTTTCATTATTGTTTCATCTGGTTCATTGTTTCGCAACGATTCTTGGGTATTATGACGCATGGACCCTGGAAGGTACAAAATATTCCACGCGATTTTTTTGTCATTCATCATGACGAAAGATTTTTAATGTTGACGAATTTTACGTATACTTTACTTTTAAGGTAATTCTAAATTTCCTTTTAGAGGAATGAGAACACAGAATTACATTACGAGTTTAAACAGATGTAACACGAGGGTCGAATTTGTTAAAAACTCAGAATTTATTTACTACATTACATTATTTATGTATATTACATTATTTATGTATGAAATGTAAATTATGCTATATAATTTTCCAGCAAGATTACAATATTTGAGATATATTTCGAATTAACACGATTCCAAGAAAGAGTATGAGTCAAAATAAGCTGAAAATTTTCCAAATTAATTAGCATTTCCTTAGTTTCATTAATTGTGTTGATTCAGTTAAATGGTCGACATAATTTCCTAATATTGTATTCGTTGCGTGGTTCACGCGTTCATATCTCACGTATAAACGGCCAACAATTATGCAGAGCGGACTAACAAAACGTGTAAATGGGCCAATTACCGCCGCCTCTATGTAGGCTGCGGTACAATTAGTGGCCTGCTAACAGTTTTCATCACCAATATTGACGATGCGCCGCGCGAACGCATCAGACTGAGATCGTCTCTCGTTGAGGGAACATCACATTTCTGTTCCACCTTAGTTAGTTGCTTCTATATATAGTTCGTTAGTTGTATTTTCAGTGGTCTCTTTTAGTAATTAGTTTAATAAACAGCCAGTTTTATTGGTGAGTTTTTCATTTATTTTTGACTTAATTTTATTTACTGACCTTAGCTTCAATTATTCTCACATGTTATTGCCATATTCATACTAGGTCACTCAAACATATTCAACATTTGATATTTATGTTTTATATTAAGTATTACTATATTCATAAATTCAAATATAGGCATCTTTTTTTCTAGTCAAGACCTTACAAGTGGCTATTGACACAAAACTGTCAATCTCTTTATACTATTTTGTACAGTTTCCATATCTTAGGTTCTTGTGGCTGCCTAATTTCAAGTGAATAAATTCTTAATAGATTTCATTTTTGACCGACTTCCAAAAAGAAGGTGGTACTCAATTCGTCTGTATGTTTTTTTATTTTATTTTATGGTTGTACTGAAGTTATTATTATTTACTTGCTAATTTAAATTAATAAATATCGTTTACTGTCTTGTAAAATTGGTGCTTAACGTACTGAACGTTTTATAATCTTTGCGTGATAATTTCCTTCATCTTTTGAGACAATTTCCTTCAATCATATGAGACATGACGTAAGCTGACCATAAGAGATATAAGTAAAACGTTCCCTGGATCAATAAGTCTTCCAGTAGGCGGTATTATTAGGTCGACACTAGTCGCTAACAGTAATGAAATGTCTACGCGGACGACAATGGATCTAATAAAATATCCTAGATTCAGTTTAGCAACTAGTGGGATGAACATTCAACAGATTTATCCAAAGGCCGTTTAAGCGACGCCCAATAGAAGAAGAGCTTTGGAGCTTTCGCGGGTAGATCTATATTATCGGGGACGCGTACGAGAAGGGGAGGTCAGAGTACATCGGTCGATGTAGAAGTGGGGGTCCATGTTTGATTCGATCCCGGGCCGGGGGCGGCGCTCATTGCTGGCGTCCGGAGCGCATGCGCGTCCTCTGACCCAGTTGCGGCGCCGCGGCGGATGCCGGCCTCGTTACACCAAGGCTGGCGAATCACACGGGCAAGTAGCGCCGCCGACAGACTTACCGACGCGGCTCTCGTTCTACGGACACGCCTTTAAAAGTCAAATCAATATTTATCCATAATTCGGGTACATCGTAATTATAAAACTGTAAATTTGTGTGATCCAAAACGGAAAGATAAAGAAACAAACGACTCGTCAGTTATTTAGGATGATGAAACAATCGCGAAGCTCAATATTTTATAACATGTCCGCGTAACGCACTTTGAATTTTGATTAGCGGTCAGTGTCTAAAAGGCATTCCTGCTATTACGTTCCTTCCGTTGAGGTTTACGTAATACGCATCGAAAATAATTCCAAACGGCTCATTTCACCTGTCGCTTTCTAACCTTGTCACGTTGATTCGATCACGATTTGTTGAAGCTAGTGAAGTCTACAAACACGGACGTCCTCACTTGTCGGCGATGTTTATTTTAAAACGCTCGTTTATAAATGGCGTACTAGTGTTGTGATGATCGATCGCGCCGTGCCCCGCCGCGCCGCGCCGCGCGCTGTCTGTTGCACGCTACAATGTGTTCATTGTGCGTGTAACAAGCTCTCGACGTTCGCTAATTTTACTGTAATCGATAAAAATTCCGCTGCGCGCGTTGACATCACTACTACAAATTGTGATGGATATACATGTTTTGACAGTTTGTTTTAAATATAGACGCGAAGTGATTCATAACCGGTTGAGCAGAATTTAACGTTTTTTTTTCTTCTTTGTTATTTCAGATTTCGAGTTTGTGTGTTGGGTGAGCGAGTAAGCAGCGTACTACGGGAACATTTTAATGTCTCTTCTGATATATCTTGCATTAAAATTAATTTTAATATTATTGTAATTTAATTTTTATCTTTGATTGTTTTGCGCCAAAGTAAAAAAAAACGACTTGTTTTTGTAAGCAACTTATAAATAAGTATTAATCATATCTGAATTGTAAAAAAAATTAAAACACATCTACTTTTGTTGCTCAAATCCTAAAAATGTATATTTGTTAATTATAAGATTTTATATTCACAGTTTGAAGAAAGAAGTTTATGAAAATTTGGTGCCATCGGCATCAATATTAGTGCCCTACATCTACCCTGTAGATCCGAATTTGTTTGAAGTGAGGCGACAAATTCGGTTCTAGAGAGGTTTGTGTGGTGCATGCACTGCTACGATCCCATGAAGAGAAGACAAACCAGAAGAAGAAAGAACAAGACAATCTGCGTCGTCTCCAATGTTCTTTTGTGAATTTTGGATACGTTGCTTATACCACTGTCTAGCCTTTTTAATACTTTAACTTACATGTGATGTATTATATCTTAATTTTTTGCTTAGGAATCGAGTGTTTAGGACTAGTTTAGTCATCCGTAAGGGATATATTTAGTACGATAAATCTACACTTCAAATTAATCAACAGATGACTCCGAAATGTGGCAAATGATCGGACAATTTTCTTTAAATAAAATCAGTAAATAAAAATGCATATGCCTGAAAAACTTATTATGGACATTATCTTAATTAATGTTTGTAATTTTGCTATTTTAATAAACAAATAACCAATGGATATTATTTTTTTTAATAAACCTGTAGACAAAATAATGTTTGTGTTATTAATACATACTAGAATAACTATCACATTCTAAAACAAGAACTAGTATACAATAACTAAGTATACAAAAATGTAAACATTTCCTATTCTAAAACAGAAATAATATGTTTTCAAACATGTTTTGCTAGTGGAAACCTATTTTAACCACACAAGTTGTATTGTAAGTTGTCTTATTATGGTTAAAGTTTTATTAAAAACTTACAATATGATGTCATAATGACATACGCATCTCGCATGTCTTAACAAATGGCAACTGGGCAAAAATCTGCGACGAACCTCGACATTGTTTTTAAATGTACTGCTGATATAAAATTAGTGTCAATTTCCACTGCTGAATTACTTGTATGGAAATGTGTTGACATCTTGAAGGATACAGAAAGAAACAGTTCAGTGATTTTTTAATAATAATCCTTCTTTTATGTTATGGTAGTAATTTTAAGAAATTGCAGGCCTTGTAAGAGATAAAATTATTTACAATATAAGTATACTGAAATTAAATAACATTTGTTTAAAAAAACGCGAGCCTTTTTGTCTTTTTAATTCACCAAATATCTATTTTTTTAATAACATTAAGAAACATAGATATGTAAGGTTTCTCTATATGCCGTTAAATTTTAATAGTGGGATGTAGTTACATATTATACTTCTAGACATTTTATAAGTAAAAAAGTCTCTTAAAGTTACATTGTCGTAAAGTACAAAGTCGTGGTGTATGATTATTTTTTTCTTTACCACTTACTTGATAGATAATTGTAAAGTAAATTGTATTCAAGTAAGTTATTACATAGTGCCCATAAGAAAATAATTCCGTATAAGACTTTGTGTTAAGTAAATTACTATGAGGTTAGTCATTCGTTTTAATAATAATGAAATGGAAATGTTTTTTTGGTAATCTGTAGGAAAAATAAAATCGATATGTCTACATTTTAGTATTGTTTAAGAAATGTAAACAAGAAATTAATGAGTGAAATTTTTGAATATTTTATTTTACGGATGCATTTGTTTTCATAATTTTAATCTATCGTAATTAATTAAATGTAATAAATGTTTATAAAAATTTGTGATGTTTTACTTTAAAAAAAATCCGCATATTATTTGTGTGCTAACTAATGTTAAGTAACGTTAACAATTCCCAAACAGAAGCAGTTATCTATTTGTAACTACAGATTTTTTCATAGCAATAACAAATATAAATTACTTTAACTTCTGCTTTTCGAGAACCTTATGTTACAGCTACTGGGAACGATAAGAATAAAATTGAAACTGATCAATAGACGAGATAATAAGTGTAATTCTGAATATCTAGAAACTAACTATACACCTCGAAAATCCTAGTAAAGACTAAGAACACAATATTAAAGGATATTATTTGATCAAAATTCAATAAGTAAAGGCTAAGTTTTTATTCTAATAGTCTTAAATATTCCATTCTGTAACCGGAAGTACGGAAACCAAATTGACGTCACTGGATGTAGTTGCATAAATTAGGTAGTTGAAAATCAATACTGGACCTCATATTTTTAAATGCTGCTTCTAACACTTTTTGCCACTTAGCAATAGATGGCGTTAAAATAATAAGTTACGACTTTCAAAACATAAACGTAACATCCAATGCTACTAGTCAACAGATGGCGCTAAACGTCACAGTATTGTTGAAAGAGAAGTGAGTATTGATCTTTTTAAAATGCAGGAACAAATAATCAGCTAGCATTGCTAAAAAGGATTATAAACCGTATGATTTTAAACGTCATTTTAATCATGGTAAGGTTTGCTCGATAAATAAAAAGTCACAATACAAATGTAAACGCCCAAATTTCCGAGAAAAAGTTCCACATTTAAAATAGTATTGCCATAGGGATTACCTTGTTGCTTAGGAAAATCGATATCAACCCTGTAAAAATTAACGTTTACCACTAATACTTGATTGAACTTGGAATAAGATAAAATAAATATCTGAAAATCGATATACGCAAAAAAGACTTTAAGAACACTGATATTAGTTTAATATTCCAAACATTGAAACAGAATTAATATTGCCGTAGATACTAACCCTGAAGAAGGTATTTAAAAACGGTATCAGTAGTCATTTGGTTATTCTGAGTGGCAGTAGCGTCTGAAAACGCATTTCGCTATTATGAAAGATAACAATTTTCATATCGCGAAACCGGCGCGAGGTACCAGGAATGTATAAGGAGCGAAGAAGATTAATGATTAGTGCAGGCCGGCCGACAAGCGCGGCCGTGTTTGACAAGCGCAGGTGCGCTATTTTCATAATTGGACCGAAGCGCTGAGCTCTGAGCGAGCCCTTTCGGCTTTCAGTGACGCTTCGATTCCTTGAATTTGTGCTTCTTTAATTACACAAATAGAAATAATATTGCTTAACCACAATGTATACATTTTACTATCACATACTATAAGAAATTATGTTGAGATCGCAACTGAAAACAATTTGAACCTTTGTAGACATATTCGCAGGCCTGACAAACAATTACACAAACTTGCTAATTTATCTAAGCAACGGATGTAACTAGATACGGAGACATGAAAATCCGACATACAGAGGCTCACCTTTCTTAGTAATGAAAACTATTAATCATATGAACCGACTTCAGTAGCATCTTAGACCGGTCTTACTCAGAGTCCAACGCGAGCCAGCACCTTAAGCCTCGACATCTGTGCTAAAACTAATGAACTTGAGGGATTAGAAAAAATGTAAGCAAGGGTCTATTCTAATATCGTTCGATATTTAAAACTCAAAATTCGAAACGGATTATACATGTCTTACAATTAATGTGAGAATTTGATTTGTCTTTGATGCTTTTGAAATAGGTTAAAGGTAAAAATAAAACTAGTTAATTTTATCTAAGCACTGAAACGATTAGTAGATTCGTTGATAAAAAAATCGTACAATATTAAAGTTTTTAAAAATCGTAACTTTTTTTTTAATGTCCAAAGTCAAAGGGTAATAATACGTTACATAATTTTTATATAATTCGCAAATTAACAACCGTGACAGATGTTTAAATTCACACGAATATTAGAAAATTCATGCTAGAATAAGCCCTCACATCAGGAATTGTGTAACTGAACCAACTATCGAAAGCAGGAAGGGTCCTGTCAAAAATTACTATTATACCCTAGCGGATAATTAATGAACTGCTTATTCAAATACTTTTAAAACTATTATTCATGCCGTTTACGTTTGAAATGTCCCGACTGATTTTTATAAAGGACCCTTTTTACAAAAAAATAATTAAAAAATTGTGCAGATCTACCTACCTTGTGCGATTTATTAAATGGCGTTTAAACTTTTTAATTTAAGCGCAATACAGGAAATAAACTTCTATGATTATGTCATATCTATAGGTAACAATCGTGTTTAATTTATTAGAAGGCAAATAAATTAAAAATTCAGGTTTAGTGTAAAAATAGGAGAAAAACTATGTTCGTGTAACTTTTCATAACGCATAAAACTTTATATCATGCGCGAAAATCGCTACAAAAAACGTAGTTATCCTTGTTGAATAAGTAAGTATTAAAATAAGAACTTAAAGTTAACAATATTGCAGTTTCCATATCGAAATCCCATTGCAACATTGCACAGCGAACTTTTAATCAAGTCCCGGAGAAACGATTTACTATGATCAAAGAATAAGAAAACGTCATACGTAGACAGTCCATGTTTTTTTATGTGACTTTTGTTACTTAAAAGATAAAACGTCAAAGTAGATATTTTTCTTATTAAAATAGTGAAATCAGTTTACTTCCATTAATAATAGATATGACGAAATTAACTTTAATAAAGGTGAAGTATGAACTAAATAACACGTGGGACGTTTCTTATGTTTCATTTACTATAAAATATACTTAATAGTACTATACAATGAAAGGTAAAAAATCGATTGTGAAATTGTAAAATTGGTAGACTCCTTCAACATGACTAATGTCTTACCTTGAGCTTTTGTAGTTGAATTTGTCAATAAAACTGGTAGCTTAATTAATATTGAGTTTTACTTAAATTCCAATGAACGGATTAGGCATAAAATTATAAATTTCCTTTTTATGTCCTTATTCTTTGCCACTCGTATAAGGCCGCAGTCGTCGGCCGGCGCCCGCCGCGAGCCATCATTAATCACTAGTTTTAGTTGCACGCTCTACCCACACCACGCCGCTCACTAGGGCTAGTAAACCTCCGATATTCCACCACTGTCCTACAACCTACAATATACACATACTTCGTGGAATCTTCGATTACTCGACTGTTTAGAATTTAGATTGAAGCTGAA